CACCTTTTACCCTATGGGCATGTTAATTTTAGATTCTTGGTTAATGGAAACCACAACTACTTAATGCACTTTTATTTGTGATCGCTTAGTCACTCTGATAGTCAGGCCTTTGTTTAAAAAGAGCAAACTCACTTTTTATAGTTGCCTGGCATGTTTACTGTAATTATTTCTAGGACAACCACTGCTACAGCAGATTGCTTGAAGATATACTTCACTGTATATGGTATCGAAATTTCTTTTGCTTCACCTTCTTCAGTTATCCTACTTGAGCTTCTTGGAGGGGGAATTATTCCACCTGCACCTGGAATAATGCCTACGACAATACTGCAGTCGGTTTTCCTTTGACATAGAAAACCTGCTGTTGCTTCCGAATTTACCCCAGCTGACTTTTACTCATTTCTTTAACCACAGAATTCAAGGAGAAGGCATTGATTGATTTTAGCTGGTAATTTGGGAAGGACATATTTAATAGGAAGTTGAGAAGTCTCTGTCTTAGATTAATACTAGACTCAGGGTAATAAAAATGTATGTTGACATAATACTGACTGTGTAATTGCTCGGATGTCGTCTAATTAGTACACTTTCCTAACCATATTGATTTTTTTAAACACTGCATTTTACAGCATTACAGTGCACTTATAGGTCAACTCTAATTTCACAAATGCACTTAACAGCTGGGTGGAGAGTTAACTGAAGGATTTTGGGTCTTGCCCTTCTTTGCATATTGATGTTTCCACAGAGACTCTGCCTTCCAACCAATGACTGCAGCTGTTTGGATTGTGTATGGCAAATACAGACATCTCAAATGAACCACCAATTAGTTAAATTACTATTTAGGTTGATAATGAGAACAAACATCAGATTTTAAAGCCCGTTTTGTACGAGCTGCCTTGAATGCCAGCTTCAGAGGCATGCTGCATCAGAGCAGATACATCAGCCTTCTCATTACACTGCGTCTTCTTCACTTTATTTTTAATAAGGAGGCTCCCCCAAAATGCATAGTACAGTCTTTCTACAAATACATTTCAAAGCCTGAAGGGAATTGAGAATGAATTTTAAAGAACTAATTTGGGGGAAGGACATGAATCAGTTATAGG